TATTCAAGCAGTTTTACCAGCTTTTGACGGAATTTGTATCTCTTTGAATTTGTTTTATGCATTCTGTTTCTTTCCCATATTGTTCATTCAAGGTTTCCATCATTTCCCCATGCCCCTGTACTTTTTTATCTACATCTTCTCTAGCTATGCTGAGCAACTCTTTTATTAAGGTTGTCGTTTCCTACTTTACCTGAAAGATTATTTCTAATCTGATTTTCTCTGTAGCCTCATGGATTTCTTTATTTTACTTGCTATCTTTTCAGATTTCAGGTGTGTGACTTCCAGTGTCCTCTATTTTGATGTCTCCTGGACTTGTTCCGGATGGGCATTTGAGATTTCAGTGTGCTTTTCCATTTTGTCATTTTCGCCTCTTGGGTTGACATTTTGATCTTTTCAATCCCTCTTAGCTTGACTTTCCATCATGTGTATTTTAGGGTCCTACTGTGTGGCTGGTGTTCACTCAGTTGCTGAGTCCTATAGTATAGAAGAGGGGTTCCTCCTGTAGGGTCTGTTGGGTGAGCCCTATATTTTTCCTAGGCTGAGTAGTCTATGAGGATTGATGTGAACCAACACTTCACTCGTATTGTTACTGAACTTCAGAGTGTTCCAGGCCACCAGACTCACCTGTCTATAGTGTGCACCACAGCTGGGACCCTACTGTGTACTGGGGGGTCTCAGGTCCTGCTGGGTTCCTCTGGGTAGGAGGAGGCCTTCCTGGCACCTTCACCAGCTCACCCTGGGGTTCTCTGTATGGAAGAAAGGCTCACTCACACTCTCACCAGCTCACCAAGGTCCTCTGGGTTGAGGGGAGGGTTCTCTGAGGCTCCTGCTGACCCACAGAGGTTCCCTGTTTGTGAGGGGACTCACTGCTTTTGCTGGTCTCCCAAGTTCTCTGGGTAGGGGGAGGAGTTGTTGAAACTCCTGCCAGCCCACTGAGGTACTGCAGGTGGTGGAATGGGTCACTGATGGTCCGTGGTTTGGCGAGGTCATCCAGGTGTGAGGGAGGGGCAGCCGAGGCTCCCCTTGGCTGCTGAGGTCTTTTGGGTATGGCGAAGGGGCATCTTGTGACAATCTTTTACTTAAAGTCTATTCTGTCTCATACAAGAATTGCCACTCCTTTCTTCAGGTTACCATTTGCCTGTAAATGATATATTTACTTCCCTTCAGCTGTAGAGTCTGTATGACCTTAAAGCTAACAAGAGTTGCTTATAGGTGATGCGATATATCTCGAGTTTTTGCTCTTCAGGTACTGTATGTGTCTTGGTGGAAGACTTTGAACCTCTTTACATGGAAAGTGGTTCTCAGCAGGTAATGACTCACTGCTGTACTGTGTTAGTTGTGCTATTATTTCATGGTTGATAAAGGATCATCACTTGATGATTTTTTTTATAATGGCATGCTTGATACCTTTCTCATAACTTATTTTTTGTTACTTACCAGAGATCTTTTCTTTGTGGTTACTATGAGACATACATAAAAATATTACAAATACTTATTTTAACTGATTACAACTTGATTTTGACTATGTACAAAAACCCTACACCTTAACTTTCCTCCCCCACCCCTTTTGTTATTGGTATCACCATTTACATCTTCCATTACTCATGTACCCACGACTCAATTATTGCATCTATAGTTTTTTGAGGTTTTTTAAAAAAAATTTTTGGTACCAGGGCTCAAACTCATAACCTTGTGCTTGCCAGGCTGGTGCTATATAGTTATTTTTTACTTTTATACTTTCATTTTTTAGATTTTGGCTACATTCTTCCTTGCACAGTGAGCTTTATACTTGCATGTTCTAGTGATGTCCACTAGAAACCCTTGTTACACTGTAAAGAGCTCCCTGCAGCACACCTTGTAGAAAGGTGGTGATTCCCAGCACAGGTTTTGTCTGCCTGGAACGCTGTATTCTTCACTGCTGAAGACAGTCTTGCTGGTGTCATCCTCTTGTTGGTAGTCCCTTTCTCTCTGTCCTTTGAATAAATCACCCCAATCTCTCCTAGCTGCAACACTCCTGCGGAGAAGCTGGTGATCACAGCATGGAAGTTCTTTGCTATGTGGCAAGGTGTTTTTCTCTTCCCATTCAAGATTCAACCCTCAGAATCATGAAAAACTCCTTTCTATTTGGCTTTTTAGTCTGGTTATATATAGTGTTTATGTTAGATTTTCAGCATAGGTGAGAAGCAAAGGGAGAGAGAGGGAGATAAAGAGACCTTGACTGTGGGCCCGGGAGGGTTGCAGAAGAGGGCCAGGTCCCCTCAGACCAGAGCAAAGGAGTAGCTGAGTTTTTATCAGGTAGGTCAGGGGTGGGGTTTGGGAGGCAGGCCAGGTGACGGCTTAACAATTGACTTGGAGGAGTCTTGGCATGTGCGAAGGAACAGACAGGAAGTTTATTTTGGGGTGAGGGGAGAAAACAGAGGAAGTTGATATGCTTTTGGCTCCTTTGCCAGTTGGACCATTGCCATGGTTCCGCTGGCGTTTCCCTGATTTCATTTACATGTCAGCTTATCTTCTTTGCAGCTTCTTTCAGACAGTCATTTTAAATTTCTGGTTAGGCGTTCACAGTTCTCTGTGTCTTGTGGTCAGGAACTGGCTCTTTATTGAGTTCCTTTGATCTGAAGTTTCTCTGATTGCGCTACTTGTGATGCTACACTTGTATGTATGAGAAGTAGGTTTCTCTTCTATGCTTCACAGTCTGGCTCTGGCCAGGAAGTCTTCCAGGTGGGTCAGGTAGGTAGAAGACATGGTGGTGGAGCCTTTAGGCAGATTGGCCTCCTTCCTGGGTCAGCTTGCCTGGCTCCAGGGTGCACTGGAGTGGGCCTGTTGCCTAGGTCCACAAGAACCGGCGGAGAGCCTGTGTCTGCAAACCTGGAAGCCTAGGCCCAGGGGCTGAGCTGAGCCTGACATCTGAGTGCCAGTGCAGGGGTTAATCCTGAGTGTGCGGGGCCAACTGTGGGACTAGGCTGTCCTGGGCAGGGCCTGGCAAATGGGCCCGTCCTGCTGAGCCTGCTGTCTGGAACCACTTGAGCCTGAGACCGTGGTGCCAGGCTTGGATCTTGGGGCCACAGGAGGTGGCTTGAGCCCTAAACTTATGGGTGTGGTTGTGGAATTTAGATCTGCCGTAACTAACCTGTTACAGGGTCCTTTCCGCAGGGCCTGGACCTCATGGACCAGCCTGGTGCCAGGGAACACAAAGTCGGGCCCATAGAAGCTGGGCCTGGTGGTACATGGCAATCTAGGCTAGGGCCCATGGGCACCAGACTGTAGTCGGGCTGTGTTCACCACTGAGGTGACGGTGGTGGGCTTTGTGCTAGGTTGAGCTGGAGCAGACTGTGTGGAGCCAGCTCAGCTCCTGTAGCTTGGCCTGAGGCTGCCTGGCGTGGGGACTCAGCGCAAGGCAGGGTTCTCACTTCTGCGCCAGGCAGACTCTCTGATGTGCTGCTGGGGCCTGTGGTGAGGCTGACGCAGGCAGGAAGCTGCTCTTCACTCTTGTTTCTGAGCTGCGCTTAGCAGTTATAATCTCTTGCTTCATGGTGGCATTTTCCTGTGTGACAGTGACCCAAGCGCTGCTCCTGGAGAGATACACGCGAAGTCCTAGCCCACTGCCTTGCTCAAGATCGAGTCCACTTTGAATGCTTTATTGAGAGCAGCACTGTTTGGGGGAGCAGATTTGGGTTCATCCAGGCATAGATGGAGTGAATTGCACCCCACTGAGCTCTCCACAGCAATCAGAGGGAACAGCAAGGGAGCATTAGAGCCCTCGACAAGCCAGGTCGCCTCTTCATTACTGTAACAGCAGGAATGTGATGCACAAAACTTCTATTTAAAAAGTATAAAAGTAAAGGCTAATGAGAGAGACATACTAAGTTTATGGAATGGAAGCCTCAGTAATATCAAAAGGTCGATTACTTCTCAATAGGCATCCCGGTCTTAACTCCAGGAGGAGTTTTGTGAACATTGACAAAGTGATTTTAAAATTTACATGAAAATGCAAAGGACCTAGCATAGTCAAAGCTATTTCCGAAAAAATATAATAAAGAACAAGTTTGATTCTTGGATTCACACTGTCTACTTTCAAGATAATGCTAATAGTACTACAGTAGTCAAGACAGTGTGGTGCAGGCAGGCATATTAGCAAAAGAGGTCCCGGGAGCAACACAGGCAGCCCAGAACTGGACATACGTGGCTGTGATTTCAACTGGGGATAGTGCTGCTACTGGCCTCAGAGAAAAGAGGTGTACACTAGCTGAAAAACATCTAATTTATAAGGCAAGTCATATTGCCGGGTGACATTTTAGGGAACTAAGCTTAGTACCACTCACTGTAGCCTTGGGCAGGAGCATCAGGCTCCTCCCTGCCTTCTGTGCCAGCAGGGACTGGATGACTCAGGCCGGACCACGTGTTTCACGCTGTTGTCTGGCTCTAGCATTCTTTTGTGTCATGGTGTCATTCAGCACCCTGTATGATCCAGGTTGGTCCTAAGGTCAGAGGGTCCTCACTGTTGCTTACCCTTGTTATTTCACCAAGTGTGATTTGGGGGTTGGGATACAGATGTGAGGTGGTGGCCAGGGTCTACTTTCTTAGCCATTTCTGGCACAGTAAATCTTCCTGCATGATCTACAGCTACAAGAATTCCCTTGCATCATAGATAGTAACCACAGCGTCACTCAGTAAACTCTTCTGTTAGTCAGAGTTCTGTTGCTGTGACAGAAATGCCTGAGACAATTGGCCTGAAGGAGAAAAAGTGTATTTCAGAGGTTTCAGTCCAAAGCCACCCAGCCTGGTGGCTTTTGGGCCAACAGTGAGGTGGACACATGACAGAAGGGAGCCACTCATGACAGCAGCTGGGAAACAAAGGGGGGAGGGAGGAAGGTACCAGGGACCATGTGTCCCCTGCCAGGACACAGTCCCAGTGACCTGCTTCCTATACCCCCTGGCATTGCCACCACTGCTCATTAGATCACTGAGCCAGGAGGTCATAAAGGAAGGTATCATTATGAGTTCAGAGCCTGTGTGAGCCAATCACCTCCTAAGGTGCCGTCTCCAAGTCCTGTTGCACAAGGGACCATGCCTGGAACACAGGAGTCTTTGGGGAACATTGAGACCCAAACTATAACTGGTTTGGGTCTCATATAGCTGGTTAACGACAGTCAGCCTTTTGGTTGTAAACTACCCCTGCAAGGTACGTGAGCTTGTCTACTTCCACTAAGGTTCCAGCAACAGTGTCAGCCCCAAGTGGCCTAATGGACCACATCTCCTCAGGAGACCCAGGACGGAGTGGTGATACGGAGCGGTAACCTTTTACAGACTTTACTACAGCATTTGAAGTTCTACACCCACAATTGTGAAACCCAAAACACTCTGAAAATCATTTCTGGGAACAGTCTTGGTGGCTCTAGTGAATCCTCTGGAGGAGAAGGCCTGGTCTACCCAAGCCCTCTGTTCCTGGGAGCAGCTCACCGGGAGGGTGTCTGGGAATGATGTTGTTCAGGCCTCTGGATTTCTTTCATGCATAAATTTGGATTTCCTCTCCTATTGGTACTGATCTGCCCTTGCCTGTGAGCATGTCAGGCAGAGATTTGATGGCTTCCTGTCCTCATAGTAACCTTTACGCGCACAGTTCTTCAGGGCTCGTAGGATTTTGTTTTTTGTTTCTTGATAACGTCTTTTCTTCTTTCAGCCATAAAACCATGACTCAGAGGATGCCCAGCTGTGGCAGAACCAGGCCCAGAGGCTGGTGTCTTCCAGGGACTCTCACCAGAGGTGAGAGCCTATGTCTTCTACAATACACAACTCATAACACCTAGAGGTGAACAGACACAGCCCAGGATGGGGAGGTGGACCACTGCTCCGCTGGGGGCTCCCGGGTGCAGATTCCAGAAGTGGCTGCATGCGAGGTGAGACTCACCCAAGTGCATGAAATTCAAGGCAGCTCACCTCCTTTGTCCATTGCTTTTCCCCAGTTTCCTCTGAGGTTAAACAATTGCTAGATGTGGTGATGAGCACCTGAAATCCCAGCACTGTTGGAGGCTGAGGCAGGAGGACTGCTTGAATAACTTAGTGACTTAGCAAGATCCCGTGTATCAAATTTTTAAAAAAAAAATTTAAAAAGACCTGAGGTTGTAGCTCAGTGTGAAGGGCTTGGTTTGAGCTCCAGCACACAAATAAGATAAAAAAAATGAAACTCAGGATGGAGTGGTGGTATTTTACTGGGCAGAAGAGCACATGGCTTGGAGATTTTATTTCTCCACTCACACCTTGGTGGGAGCACAGAAGGCCAGGGTGTTACATAGGAGGGGACAGGGGCTGCGTGTCTCCAGCTCTTCCTTCTAGAACACACCACTGAGGCCCAGAGGGTCGCTCTGCCATGGCAGGGGGCCATCTGCAAAGGGGCATAGTGTGGGGCTGTACTCACCCTCTTCAGGGATCCTGTAACTGGGGCGCTGCCCTGTCCCAGTCTGACCTGGATTGAACTGTGGGTTGTAGCCACCACATTTTGCCAGCAGAGGGCGCCACAAACCCACTGGTGTTTCCGAGAACTCCGGTTTTCATCTGGGCATCTCGGGAACTAACATGGGATGAGACTTGACACAAGCACCTCGCATTCATAGACTGGAAGGCCAGACACGGGTATCTGAAGGCACAGGGTTTTATACAATCTCCAGACCATCACAGAGTACTCTTAGGTGAAGAGAGACACAAAGCTCATGTGACACTGAGTTTAGGAAATCACTGGCCTCAGCTGGGTGACTAAGGAGCCCAAGTACCACTGTCCCTCAGTTGTCCAGGTGTGAGAATATGCCTCCTTTAGAAATGAGATTAAACAGGTGGAAATTCCAGGTGCATTTAGATTAAAGATCATCCTAAGGTGGTCCCCGGGTGGAAACAAGCCCTTTCTTGATGCGTGACCCCAGGGTGGACATCAGCCTGGAAGCCCTGGGCCCTGTGCTGGATGCACAGTGAACGGAAGCTGAGACCTGTGCATAGGGGAGGGCCTCTGACGGTTGTATGGGCAGGACTCAGGTCCCGCCAGCCATCACAATGTGGGCCTGGAGCAGGTGGCACAGCAGAGGCCAGCACCACAGGGTGGGCCAGCTGCCAGAGTTCAGCAGGCAGAGCCTGGGCCGACCTGGCCAGCCCACCCTGCTGCCCCGGGCTCTTGTGCTCTGTGTGTGACCACGGTGCTGCATGTGCCTGGGCCTCCAAGGCGACCGTGCTGGATCTAAGTCTGAGGCACGAATACCTCCCGATCCACAGCTGGCTTGGAACTGGAGGGGCCATGGCTGCAGGTGCCCCGGTTGGCCACATCAGGGGTCTCTGATGACTGGTGGGATGTTAGGAGTTACCCAAGGGGCAATGGCCCTAAGGGGGCTTCTCCTGCAAGTCAGTTCCTTCCTTTCCGTCTACCTGCCATCTGCCTCCCTTCTGCTGATTCTTTTTCTTCTGCTTCACTTCCTCCACTGCCCCTCCTCTCTTCCACGCAAAGGTCAGAAAGAACAAGGCCATGTTCAGCACGACAGCCGAGGGGGCGGTGAAGACAGACCCTGTGAGATACACCAAGGAAGATGAGCGTGGCCTTCTCTTCTGAGTGAGCGGCATGGGGTCAGGTGTGGATGGCGCTTTGCTTTGTGGCTCTGTGTCCTATGTCCTCTCTGTGCCACGGCCTGTGTGTTTGAGACTGGCCATCAGTGCGGTGCATCTTGGAGGTAGGGTTACTCACGGGTGGTCTTTGGGTCACTGGAGTGAGTCCTGTAAGGGGATGGAACGCGATCTCTGGCCGAGAAGTGAGGAATTTTGCTCCTGCCACTGTGCCCCACCGACTGAGCCAGGCCAGCCTCTGCCTTGCAGGCTAGTGACCTCAAATGCTCCCTGCAGACTGGAGAGCTGACCACCACTCTGCGTTGTGCAGGTCCAAGGTGATGGGCATGCTGGCTGAGGGAAACTACAGAGTTAGGATGGAGAGGTGCAGCTGAGGGCAGACGGTGTTGTGTTGCAGCTGCCCGGTCAGGGTTAGGAGCCTTTGGGCCTCAGGTCAGGCCACGTGGGTCTTGGTATTGCGTAGAACACCGGTCTTCTCACCACCCCAAGAGCCCTGTGAGACCCAGCATCCCCAGCTCCAGGCCGCCCTCTGCAGGGTCTGTTCCTCAGCAAGTTAACCTTGTGTGGAATCCACAGGAAAGAAAAAAGAATATTTCTTTCTCTTTATGTGATGATTTAAATACTTTTTGATATAAGGGTATCTTTCATGGGTAAAAGGCATTAAGGACAGCAAAAAGCTTTGCTTTATATAATTGGTATCTACCAATGCTTATTGAAGTAAACATTAATTAAAAGAAAAAATTAATTATTTACTAGTTAGTTCAGAGTAACAAAAAAACAATTATATGTTAAGAAAAACTGAAAAACTGTAAAAATTAGTCATGTATTCAAAACAACATTTATTGAGAAGAATGGCACTGTCATACAGCTTTATAAATCTTTATTAATCTGCTGTAGTATGCTATCATGGTTGAAATAATTGCAGAAGGTTCAGAAAAGGGAGAGATTTAGATCTTTTTTATGATTGACCTCTTAAATATACAAGCAAAGTGCAGTAGTAGTAGTTTCTAAAAGTCAGTTGCCTTGTGGAATTTGAAATCGTGTCTCTCCCATTTTTTTACTCCGCTAAAATTAGTATCAATTGTTCTGTCTTGTAGCTTTATACAGGTGCTTTATGCATGATTTTGTAGCAAAATACACTGGTCATTTGGAAAATACTGGATCCTTGAGTTATGAACATTTGTGGGTACATTTAATTGTAGTGCACCCCAAATCACATCAAAGTAGAATGCTGTCAAGCCCGTGGCTTCGGGTGCAAGTTGCCAGAAGTTCTTGGTTTTGTTAAAAGGATTGAATTCCCTTGTTGTCCCCTTGTACTGGGTATTTTCTGTGAAGTATCAGTGCAGTTTGCATGTTTGTGTGACACTGTCAGCTTGCCGCAGGGGTAGAGTGTGTCTGTCTGTCGTCACCTTAGGGCAAATGTGAATGTGCGAAGTGGAGTTAGCGAAAGCACCCTGAGCTGGCCGACGACTTGACAGGTCAGTGGGCAGCGAAGCGCCTCCTGCTGACTGTGGGCTGCATCACGTAGAACATTAAGGATCATGCATTAATTAGTCAAGATTTTTAAGGAAGCAAGCAAATAGCCAGGTTTTTAAAATGGACAAATACCCGGGACGTGCTTTTCTCCAAGGAAGACGCCCAGATAGCCATCAGACACTTGGAAAAGCACGAAGCATCACAGGTCACAGGAAATGCAAGTTAAAACCACGCAGCAGTTAGGTGAGCCCTTATTGAATACATCAACAGACAGCAGGTGTCGTCTAAGCTGTGGGGGAAAGGGAACCCTCACCTACCGTGACCGGGCAGGAAGATAACTGACTGACCATTATGGAAGACAGGACAGAATTTCTTCAGCACTACAATTAAAGCTGCCAAGATCCAGCAATTCTTTTTTTTTTTTTTTTTTTTTTTTTTAATACCGAGGATCAAACTCACAACCTTGTGCTTACCAGGCAAGCGCTTAAGCTGCTGAGCTAAATCCCCGGCCTCCAGCAATTCTTCTTTTGGGTATACATTCAGGTAAATTGAAGCCAGAACTGTAAAGAGATATCGTATTTCCATTTTCATTGTTGCCAGATTCCCAACAGCCAAGATGTGGACTAAAACCTATTTTCTATTAATGGATAGACAAGCAAAGAAAACGTGGGACCTACAAACAATGGTGTATTTTTCAACCTTAAAAAGAAGGAAATTCTATTGTTTGGGGCAACATGACTCAGAGAATATTGTGTGAAGTGAGACATGCCAGGGACAGAAAGATAGTGTGGGCGGTCTCCTAACAGAAGCTGCAGGTCACCGGCGGGCTGGGAGCGCTGACCACAAGCAGGCAGTGGAGGTGGCCTAGCCCAGGGCGGACGGAGGCTCAGGCCTGCACTGTCAGGGAGCTTCCTGGGCGTGTGCCAACCTCAGCTCATCATATGTGCACACATGGGGTGACTCTGTGAAACACTCTTCTTTCTTTCTCCAGCTTTTTAGTTGTCTTTGGTCGTTTCCCGGACAGGAGTTCACTTGGGAGAAAACGCAACATCGTCTTGGGAGGGCCACGCTGCTGACTCCAGGAAAGGTCTGGACTCGTCTCCAGGTCTCCCTGCATGTCCTCACCTCTCCTCCCCCCTGATGCAGGTGGGGAAGGGGCACCCGAGGCTGCAGAGCTGGACTGGAAGGGGCAGCTCCTGCCTTCCGGTGGTTGCGTCCTCCTGCAGACACTGCAGACGCAGTGGAGTAAGAGATACTGGATGCCTTCAGGTTATTGCATTTTCTTTTCAGTATGTGTGTGGTATTTGGCATTGAACACAGGGCTTCACACTGAGCTGTCCCAGACCGTTTTGTTTTTTATTTGGAGGCAGGGTCTTATTAAGCCACTAAGATGCCTTGCTGGGACTCTATTTGATCCTCCTGCCTAAGCCTTGAAGAGTGCTCAGATTACAGGCTTGTGCTACCCTGCCCCGCTGTTTTTCATTACCTTTGGTTCTTTATTTACATTTATACAAATAAGGGTGAAAAGGCAATGACAAAATAGGAACAGGGAGTAACATGTGTCACTTGCTAGTGCATCTTTACCTTCAACTTTGTGCATGGTGCATTCACAGGCACAAGACCCAACCTCTGTCTGTCCAAGGCTGATGTCCTTGCTGTGGCACCAGTGAAAGTGTTTCCTAAAGAGG